GACTTTGAGGCTGCTATTTTCAGAGGTGAGCGATATATTGAACTCCTTTAGGCTAAGAGTCTGAGGTGGCATAATATACTCATTAATAAGCCAGAACATCTGGGCTGGAATTGTCCTCACTAATTAGGACAATTCTTGGCCAAAAAGATATTAGTTGGAGCCCAAAGAGCACAGTTGAACTCACTGATTCCTCATCATATACTGCCACTGGCAGAGTCCTCATCTTATATACTTTCAGTCTCAGTAAGGACTTGCTAATTGCTATGTGGGCAAGCACCCACACAGCTGATGGGTCCAGTCTCCCTCCATTCCCATAGAGCATGTAATGTAGCTCTTCTTTGAAACTGACTCCAGAAAACATAACTTTTAGAAGAAAAATATCCTTTAGCCCTTTGATCACTCCCCAGCAGCCACTGACAAATGCCCTCATGCTGGACAGTCACTCAGGCATGTCAGCTGGATGCTCATCACCATTCAGAGTTGTGACCTGCTTCACTGATTGCACTATGTAGAAGCAGAAACAGTATATCAAGGCCATGATCATTTGAAAAATGTAATACTTACCCAGAACAAAAATCTACTGGCTAATTTGACTGGACATATTTGGTACCAAGAGCACAACTTGGATAAAACAAAAAACGAAAGTGAAAAAATGATGATATTGCACAACACCTTTTGCTTTATCGCATTTTACCTCTTATCCAGCCCAGCCCTGCTTGGACAGTTTCTTGAAACCTACTCCTCATGAGCTCTTCCAGTTACCATGGATTAACTTTGCAGTGTGGTAATTGCTATGTTCTTAGGCATTTTCTCTGTGCTAGAAGAGAGGCCTCCCTCCATGGAGGTGAAGAACTTTATTTTCACAGTTCCCTCCTTGTCTCATGCCTTTAAGTGCCTCCTCAGAACCTTCTTGTGATTCTTAGCTGGCAGAGTCCCATTAAAGGTCATAAGTAGCCGGTGCAATACATCAGTCTCCAGGCACAAAACATGGCAGGGCCTCCTGCCTTTTTTATTCTTACAGTAATTAGCTTTTGATTGCTACCTGTTTAATCCTTAGAGAGAAATCTTCTCTGCAAATACCATTTGGACACTGATCTAGTATGACTAATTTAGATATCTTGCTCTTGGGAGACAAACCAGTTTTTCTTATTTCCCTGTATAGTTCACGTAGAAGAGCAGTCACCTCCATATCCACCATACTTAAGTGGGGTACCTAATCTGCTCACCTTGAATACAGCTCGTAAGACATTGCAAGTGTTAGTTTGGAGGCTGCATTATCATTTTACAGCCAAAAACTATACAGGCAAAAAAGTCAGGCAAACTAAAACTCAAAAAAAAAAAAAAAAAGTTGAGGGTGGGTGTGATGATGAAAAAGCTGACGGGCCCTTACATTCAGTGGCAGTAATTAGCTTTACATAGTAAATTCCAGGCATATGGCATAACAACTTTCACACTCTCTTATATGATTTAAAATGGTTGTCACAAATTTTCGTCTTACTGCAACTGTGAAAAATCTCCTGTTTTCTTACTGCTCCAGTATCTTGCCCTGACAACTGAGATTTCAAAAAATGCCCCCCAAATCCATTTAAGGTAGTGATGTGTGTTTAATGCAAGAGAACAACAATTCAGGTATTTTTGACTGAAAAGAACTCAGTTAAGCTGCCAGAAATGTCAAAAGTTCCTTGCTACTCTGACACTTACGTAATTGTTCTGTGAACACCCACACACCGGAATAGACCTACTCCACCAAAAATTGCAGGGCTGAGTCACTGAGCGTTCTTCTACGTATCCAAAGACCTAACCATATAGGATACATCATCCATAGCGTAATTCTAATGTGATTTCCCTAATTCAATAAAATTACAGTTCACTCAGGAAAAAAAAAAAAAGGATAATATATATTTAGGATCGGCCCACCCATTGAGGAGGAAGAAGCCAAGAACAACAGCGCTGCTGAAAACCTGCCTTAGCTCCATACAAGGGCAAGGCTGGGATTAGATGCGGTGGCCTGGATCTTCTGGATTCTCCTTGCTGAAATGAGACACAAAAGCAACTATATCTACAACCTACTCCGTTTTGCCCTTTGTAGTATTCTCCTTCCACAGAGTAGAAAAGGAAGAGGGAAGCTGCAGGGAGAACCACAGACAGGAGAGTCTCTCACCTGCAGGAACTGTGGCACTTGTGGCTGTCCCCGGCAGCCTTGCAGAGAGACCTTTGTCTCCAGGAGGTCCCTCCACAAGATCCGGGAGTTTGATCCTCTGCTTGTTCCTCAGGGGGACAAACCCTTATCTCCCTAATGAATTGCAGGTAAGGGTGAAACTTCAGAGGACTCACTTTCTGCTATGAAAATAATTTTTCTGAATCCTGTTATTACAGCTGGCCACGAAAGATCTTCTTTGCAGGACTCCCCTCCACACAGCTTACCCTAGCCCTGGGCTGAGACGCTTACGGGGCAAACTCAAAAGGGAGCACAACTAAATCCTTACTCTTATTTCCTCCACTCTTCTGCATTACTCAGTGTCTCCCCCATCCAAATTCTGATGTGATCCAGAAATGCTTAACTTCTCTGATCTGATGGGACTGCACCATGAAATGATGCAGATCAGTACAAAATGGGACTGAGATCAAAACAAAACAATAAATCAACATTTATAACACTTAACAAGGAAAACCACTGAGTGAGGGCAGGGAGGCTGCAACACACCACTGGCAAGCATAGGGGTGTGTATGTTGTACATATCTCTACAACAACCTCTTGTCAACACTTGAAGAGAGATGTATGTGCACAGTTTAGCCAGAATAGGTAACTTTATGAGATAGGTTTACACTTTACAGCTATACTACAAAACTGCTCAGAGAAAGTAATAATTTAATGTAATTTACCTTGCAGCATGCTGGTGGTAACAACGTACCGAATGAATAACAGAAACTGTGACCATAAACGGCACTGTGATCATCATGCCATTGTGCTCTGACACACTAAGTGGTGACCTGATATTTGGATGGGACAGCTCTAACACTAAATCCTCATAAAATCTAAGCAGTAAACTTAATAGCAGTAATTCTCTTGTCAACATTTGAGCTTACACACACACCCAGTCTTCAAGGTATGTTGTATACAACCACGCTCTTAAATACTGGATCAAAGACGCAGAAATAACTGCCATAGCTATCTATGGTTATACCTCGAGATGTATGCCTTTTAAAGGATTGCACACCATAAATAAATACTTACTTAAATAAATACATACTAATATGCCCAACCCAGTACTGTCCCGGGCATTTTTGATACCGCTCCATGTTTAGGGCATTACCTTTTACCTCTTCATTCTAATTACTCCTAGTTCTTTCCCACCAGCTGAATTCTCTCCTTCTTTCAAATTAAAGAAAATTACTAGATTGCTATGTGGGACTTAGAAAGCGCGGTGCCCACTTTGCATGACTGTAGTTCAGCAGTTTTCTGCCTTTCTCCCACTTTTTTTTTTTTTTTAAGAAACAAAGTACAGTAAAACCAGAAAACTGGGCCGCTGCATCTCAGCACGCACACACTCATGTAACTGCGTGTGCTCACACGCTGCGCCCTCGAAGCCTGCAGCGCCGCTGGTGCTTCAAATTCAGCATGTGATTTGAGCCCTTTTTTTAACCGAGACATAACAAGGCATTTTAGCAGCTAGGTCAGGCCATCAGTTTGGTGCTCCCCTGCAATGAACGTTTACTAAATTGAGTTTGACAGCAGATCACGTGGGGAACCCCCAGCCTGACTGACTCTGGTGAAAGGTATTAATAAGGAAATTCTTGCTTCTGCCAGTGCATTCACCCTGCTCAGTGTAGCTCTTGCCTGGCCCAGGAGAGGTCCCCATGAGGGTTACGTCTGTGAAAAGTAAAACAGAAGCGCTAAATGGGAGTTGCAGATGCCAGTACACGTGTCTGTCCATGGCTCCCCCCTCTGACATCCTAGAGCCAGCCTGTGTGCTTGTCTCCATCAGGTCCCCAGGACACATTCCAGAGGCCATATAAAAAACAGAGGGTGGAAATTGAATTGTTCATGCCTGGGTTAGACTCCTAATTGCCTCTCTTTGGAACCAGAACATACGATAGCTGCCCCGCATTTCTCTTCCTGAATATGCCCGTCCCAGGAAGAAGATCCTTCTCTTATGTAATCTTCTGTCCTCGCTCTGCTCTCTGCACAGCTGATTTAACCTGCACCGAGCAGTCGCGGTGCTTGTTTACTCTTTTCACAGTCTAGAACAAGCCTTCAGTCATCCCAGGGGCAGACTTTATTCCTAGGGTCAGAGCTTGTGACGAGAGAGAGAGATCTGGGATCAAAGGGCCTTGCAAACGCAGAGGAAAATAAATCTTTAGCATTGGGAAGAGAGTTCCTTGATGCTGTCAGGTTCGCTTCTTTGCAAGGTAAGTGAATGGGATGAAGACGGAACGGTGCTATTGGAGTCACCTACCTCAGCACAGCGCTAATGCCTCCCCAGGTAAGCCCACACGTTGGTGCCTAGTGCCTCGTAAGCCCTTCCAAGCACATCAAAACAGGGAGCGCTAAAGGGATTACAGTATTTTCTCAGCGGCCTCATCTGGTGTTGTGCATGCGCCCAGTACAGCATGATACAGGCTGCCCCTGAATAGCAGGCAACATCAGAGGAAAATATACCAGTACCGTACACTTGGACACAATTGAACTCCTTGGGATTGGTAAAGAAATAATACAAACACGTTGCTCTCCCTATATAAATAACAAAACATTTCTGTAGTATGGGTGGGTCAGGACTCTTTGATAGGTGGTGCTATTTTCTAAACTGGTTTATTCATTTAACCACTGCCACTAAATTTAAGGGGATATCAGTATTTTCATTTAATCATACAGTCTCAGCACCATTTTTCAAGTTCATTCTGCTTTTCTTATTTGTCTCTAACACACAGTTCAAATTAATACACCGCTAGTTATAAGAAAATGATGCACAAGCGTACTTTTGTTTTCATCATTTTTATTATTCTGCCCACTGGTGCAACATTTCTCTTGCCAGCAGAACGCAAACCACTGTGAAGCGATACATAGGTCAGTGTCACCAAAACTGCGACTACTAGTGGTATCACCTAGTGGGAGGAAAAAGAAAAAAGACTGAGAGTCTCTTCTCCATGTATTTACTCAGACCTCTCTCACCTGAGTAGCTGTGAACCACCTATGTGCTGGCTTGTGTGCCTGGCCAGGGCACTGTATGAGTCTGGCTAAATGTGTGCCTTGTACTGCCCTCCTGAAAGCTTAATTTTATCCTCTAAATGAGGAGAACCCTGGAGCCATTAGTGATCTGCTGTCAAATAAAACTTCTCACCTCTTCGCACCCTGAGGAACCACTTGGAGAACGCATGTATAAGCTAAATGCAGATGCAAACTTAGCTTAGGCTAAAAAGGAAGCCAAAAGTAAACAAAACCTCTTGAATAAATGCATTTCCGTAGCAGCTGTTAAGTATTTTAAAGCCTCATTCCTAAGTAATTGTTAATTACATTACTTTATTACAAGGCACAATTAAATATGTGCTTCAGGTCATCCAGCTATTTGCTGTTTCAAGGAAAGCACTTGAGTCAAAAGGATTTCCTAAATGGAGTCATTCAGTGTTTTATTTCTTCAACTTCAGGAATTATTCTAGATGTGATATATAATTGGACATTGAATAATCAGTTAAATGTCATTTCCAGAAATTGTTTGTGCTTTACATAAAACAAGTAAAATGCTTTACAGGGCACTTTTGTTCTCTGTTTGAGGCACCCTGCAGTAACCAGTTCTGCACCAAAGGCCCTACCCTTCACCGCCAGTTTGGTCTGGGAGGACAAATCTTACAGTCTTGGGTCTGACCTGTATTTCTATTTTCAAATAGATCATTCACACAAATTAGCATAGACTGAGACCTTTAATTCTCACTTCTTTTGAAATTAATAGGAACTGTGAGAGGGCTCACAGATAAGCCTGGGGGTGAGAATCACAGACTCTAAGTACCCAAAAGATCGGGCTAGTCACTGTGGGCCCCATTTAGAGCCAATGGAGAGAAATGAGCACTTCCAGAGTGCAATTCGTCCTCTCTGAAGGCATCCTGAAAGTGAGTATTAAGGGAAACAACTAGCTGAAAGGTGAAAGTCTAATTTTTGTCATCTACAGCTGAATAACTACCATCACAGGTATCTGCAGATTCAAGTATCAAGAGCCTCAAAATTCATGCCCAGCTGCCACCTGTGAGGAGAGAAACCAATATTTCTGTTGCAGACATTTCTGAATCACCTGTGCTTCCAGTGCTGAGTTGAGCTGGCCTCTCAACCAAAATCCTGACACCAGCATGTTTCGTGCTTCTTGGCCTTCGGCAGCAGGCAATCCCAGACCATACTTCACAGGCCTTGCATAAAACAGCACCAAGGCAAAAGGTCTCTCTGCCACTTTAATTCAGGTCATCAGAGGGTGGAAAACCAAGACTGGAGTCCGTACTGTAGTGAATATTTATTTATGCAAAGTGGGAAAGGTCTGACCAAAGAAACAGCAAAGCCCCTACTGAATCTTGTTCCAGATGAAGTAGAAGAGAGTTGCAAACTTGTACCTTCACAGGAAGAAAGTACACTATGTAAGAAAAAAAGTTCTCATCCTTAGTGTCTAATGCAAGACGAAACCTCACCAGTAGTTAGAGGCCTGAGATGCCCTTGCCCCATTGCCTCAGTGGCTTTGGTTCTCACATGGCAAGCTTCAGCCTGCGTGTGGTGGAGGAAGCCCTGGTACAAACTCAAAGGGTGCCGCTAGTATTGTACTTGTGTAACTCTGCTACAGTGCAAGCTCTTCTTGCTGGGTTGAGAGCCAGCAAACATCACCCTCTGACTCCTGCCATGCAATGAGCTGTCATCAGCCATCATCGTAACAAGTCTCTGCACCCAGTCCCACTTGGGAAATACAACTCTCCTGAGGATGCTTTATCTAACTTCTTATTGCCTTCATATATTTAGCCTCAATGCTCATAACATTTAAACCAGAGATGATATTACTAATTCTTATTCGCCTTTGCTGTATGTTTTGAGATCTGTAGGTGTACACTTTTTTAAAGTACTATTATTATTTATTATTACATTATTATTAGGTAGGTGTCTCAATGGGTTTGATAAACTGCTTGCATAATATGTAAATTTCAGTTAAAATATTGAATGACTAAGATTTTATTTTAAATCGCTGCCATAAAGTGTCATTGAAAATGCCCTGAAGACGATAATCAGAACATATTTTCTTCCTAAAATATTTTAGTCATCAGAGAAGCAAGTTTACCTTATATGAACATGGAAGTAGTTGACGGAAATAATCTGAGGGTTGTTCTGTTTTCTGCATACCCAAACTCTGCCATGCATTGGTGTTTTTCTGTGCATCTTCATTTAAAAATGTAATCAAAGTACAATGTAACCTTGAAGAATCACGTTAACTAACAATTACATGACTTAAAGAGAATAAATTGTATTTATCATTGTGTCAAGCTTGCTGGGAGCTGTCAAAGTGTTATACTGAATTTGTGCCAGTCTCTTTTAGGTCACATTCACTACCTTTTAACATGACTCCGTTACCTTGTTTTCTAAGCTGACGTATTTGGGGATGGAGGAAAGGGTGGGATGGAACTGATCATGTGAGGATTCTTCTGGCTGTAGTTTCTGTTGGGATAAAGGCTAACAGAGAAAATACAGCTGATTATTAGCATAAACGAGTAACCAGAATTATTCAAAATGGTTGCAAGACAAGCACTGCATTAAATAGCACCTTACAAGGTAACTGCAGTTAAGATTGCTTGAGAATTTCCATTTCAGTTGTTCATGCAGTGCAAAACTTACATTTCCAGAACTTCCATTTTTTGGTCTGAAATCCATGGTTAAGTATGTCTTAGGGTTGGATTATCTAATTTTGTAAAATTTAAGGAGAACTTGATCATCTGATGTACTTGGGAAGAAGGGTAGAGAATAAACACGATTCTAATTTAAAGAAAGAAAGAAAAAAAAAAAGTAGGGCTTAAATTATGATCTGATTATTCATTCTTCCAGGACTGTACTAGTTGTCATACTGATACAGAGCAAAGCAACAGGGCCAGCTCCAAAGAGTATGCCATACTGTGGGAGCCCTGACCTAGATTAGACTTAAACATAGCAGAAAACAAAACAAAAAAGCCAAATTAAAAAAAAAAAAAACAACAGAGACTGCTGTTCTGATCTGTCACAGCTATGAACATTTAAACCCCATCCCCTGAGTGTCCGGAGATGAATAACAGCAGAAGCACATGGCAAGACCTACCTGCAGCTCCGTAACGCGAGAAGGCAGGACTGCGGTGGGCAAGGCGGACTGAGCAACGGGACATGTTACACGGCGCGTGGGCATGTGTCCTGCGAATCTCACACCAGTCAAGCCAAATCCCCCTTTGGCTTTGGCCCCCTTTGTTTAGGGACAGGGCAAGGTTTATGCAACATGTACCACTTTGAAGCCTTCAGAACAGGTAGCAAGCCAGGCTCCTGTCAAAATCCTTGCTAGGAACACGTTGTTAGTGCCATCTGGGTGTTATCGCTTCTTGAAACTCAGTGACTGATGTCCCAACTTTAATTTACATCACGTATGTTTGCTACACAGACAACACAGGACTATCTGTGCAACTCTCTGTTCCCAGGGTCAACACACTCCAGCAACTCAATACCTAGGGAACCTCCTTCAGCGCAGGTTAAAAATAATCAGCCAGGAGCTCAGGAGCGCTATAAACGAGATTAGCCTCCTCAGAACAATTTTACTCCCGGCCAGATGTTGGCAACGGGATTAGAATTTAGGCCAGGCTTCTCCCCATTTATTTGCACTCTCCGCTTTTTCACTCACCCGTTTTATCAGCCGGGCCAGCGCACCAGACCCCTCCTCCTCCTCCTCCTCCAAGGCATTACATTTCTTGCCTCCACCTCCTCCAAGGCACCGTGACAAACAGCTCCTCCAAATCTTCCTTCTCTGCATCTGCAACACAGACGGTTCATCCCAGTCGTCCTCATCCTCACTGTCCACGCACGCAGCTGATCCAGCTCCTCCTCCGGAAACAGCCCTTAAGCAGCTCCTTGCCCTTTACGCCTGCGGGGCAAACGGCTCCTCCTTCTCCTTCTTTTACTTCTCAGGCTC